CTGGAAACCCTATATAGGGTCAGTATGAGCTGAACCCTACTCCATGGCACTTAACAACAATGATAATATCTAGACACATTGAATTTGAACTGTTTTTAGAGCTGTAGCAATGTGTAAAGTTTCAAGTTAAAATTTACAAGTACTACACCTCAAATTCAATTTGAACCACAAGGTCGGCAGTTCAAACTCTCCAGCCACTCCTCAGAAACCCTATAGAGAGTCACTATTGGTCAGAACTGACTAGACTATAGTTAACAACAACAACAACAATAACCACATAAGTAACACGGATTTTCAGAAGAACAAACAAACCTGTTTTGGAAGAAACGCAGCTAGGATGCTCCTTAGAAACCTCTTTCAGTACTTTGGACATGTTATCAGGAGGGACCAGCTCCTGGAGAACATCAGGTCTGGTAAATGGAAGGTCAGCAAAAAAGAGGAATACCGTCAACAAGATGAGCTGACACAGTGACAGCAAACATGGGCTAAAACACAACTTTTGTGAGCATGGGCACGTTCTGTTGTGCACAGTTTGATACTGAGTCAGAATCGTCTAGAAAGTACCCAATCAATAGTCACATCAAGTTCACACATTATGGCCATCCTGGGTCTGGAAAGGTAACAACATGTCTCTTCTTCATGCTCTTGTTGTTTTAACAAGGGTTACTTGTGCTTTATGGAATTTAAGACAGTTTGAGGAAACAATCACTGGTATTTTATTTGCAGCATTAATATGTTTTAAAGGATTATCATGTGCTATTACTATGATAACTCCTCACCTCCCCCCACAAAACAAATCAAACAAACACTCCATTGCCATCAAGTTGATTCTGATTCATAGTGCTTAGTGACCCAGTACAGGGTTTCTGAGACTGTCATTTATTCAGGAGCAGGCAGTCTCATCTCTCTTGGAACTGCAGGTGGGTTTAAACAGCAAATCTTGTGGTTCCCAGCCCAACACCTAACCCACAGTGACACCAGGCCTACAATTTGTTATTGCTATTGTTAAGTACCATCAAGTCGATTCCCACTCATAGCGAACCTGTATACAGTTTCTTATAAACAGGTTTGAACCAGCAAATTTGTTCTTTTTGGTTAGCAGTCCAGTGCGTGTCCTAGAGCATCACACCAGGACTCCAGGGTTCCTCCAGGTACCATTCAAACTTCAAACCCCTTTAACTATTTTCTAAATGTGGAGTATCGCTTAGGGTAAACTGAGTCTTTTAGACAGCTATGCTACCATTTATTTAATAAAGTGGTATACTGAATATTTGACTTTTTTTTCCTTCTGGAATTTTTGGTCAAGTCAGATGTAGAGGTAGTCTTCCTGCTAATTTAGATGAGTATTCAAACAATTACTTTGAATTTTAAGAGAAATAGTCTTACTTGTATTCTAAGCAGTCAGAATCTGTTACAAATACATTTATTGTTATTAAGTGCCTTCAGGTCAGTTTCTACTCATAGACACTCTGTACAGGGTTTCCAAGGCTTTTTTAAAAATTTCTCATGGAAGCAGAAAGTCCCACGTTTTTTCCTCGGAGCAGCTGGTAGTCTTGAACCTCAGACCTGTGGTTCATAGTCCAGTGCTTATTGTATGGAGTCACAGCACTCCATGATAAACGCATAACAATAAACAGTGGTTTAAAATACACGTATAGGTCAAGAACAAGGCAACTATTAAAAAGTGAACAATTGAGGGGAAAAACTAGAATTACTTGGTTATTAATAGTGTATTAATGGCTAGGGCAGAATCTCAAATTTGGTTCTGGGATTCCTGTTAACCAAACTAAAGAGAGAAGCAGAATAAATCACTAAAATAAAAGAGCTCTTGGTAAAATTCAAGATCTTTCCCTTACATCAAAATTGAAACTGCTCTTTATAAATATAATATGTACACCGAAAAGTACACAGAAGAAAACATAATAGAGTTCAATGAAATACCAAAATCTGAACATTCCTGTAATCAATCAACATCTAATAAAAGGAAATGAGCCAAGTCACCACTGCAGACAGTCCCCTACCTACCTCTACCCCTTTCTCACCCCACAAGGTAAACATTATCCTTTAAGGTAGCCACTTCCTTGATTTTACATCTTAATTTTATACTTAAGTTTGCATCTCTGTTATAGTTTAATTTTGCCTGTTAGAGTTCATGTAAATGGTATTATTCAGTATTCTGGACATAGGAGGCCTCAGTCCTGGTATGGCGCTGTGGGTTAAGGTGCTGGACTGCAAAGTCGTTTGAACCACAGGGTCGGCAGTTCATATACCTCAATATACCATCTTAATATTGAAAGATATTTGTTTTGCTACTATTTGCAGGTGATTTTGAATTTTACTGCTAACATTTTAATAAAATGTTTCTTGGTGCACAAATGCATGCATCTCCATTGGATATATTCCTAGAAGTTGTTAGATCAAAAGGTCAACAATGCACAACTGGTTTTCCAACTGCTTGTATCAAGCTAATAATGAGGAGGCTTCAAAATGCTCAAAAAGATATCTTTTCATTCCATTTTCCCACAAGCTTTTTGAAGCCCTTGTACTCCCACCAGCAGTCTATGAGGGTTCCTATTGCTTTACTTCCTTGATGCCTACATTATCAGTCTTTTTAAATTTTTGTGTTCTGGTGCGTGTGCAGGGGTCTAGCTCATTGTGGCTCTACTATGCATTTTCCTGGTAACCAATGAGCTTGAGCACCTTTCTACAAATGTGTTGACCATTTATAGTTGATTCCAAGTCCTAGTGACCCCACGTGCTGTACAGTAGATCTAAGTTTTTGTTGTGATCATTCGGTGCTTTCTTTCCAGAGCCTCTGGGAGGGTTCCAACTGCCACAAGAGAATGTAGTAGCCCAACAATTAACTGTTTGCATGAGTCTGCTTAAGTATCTCACCCTTTTTTTGTTGTTGTTGCAATTAGTAGTGAGTCTTTTATATATTTGATGTACGGACCTTAATTACATGTCTTGAAAATAACTTCTTCAACCAGTGGTGTGCCATTCAATCTAATGTTGTCTTTGAAAGGACAGAAATTTTCCAGTTATGAATTTCAATGCAGCTAAATTTATAAATATATTCTTTATGTTTGGTTCCTTTATCTGTCATAATGCTTAGTAATGTAGAGAGTAAGTGAAAAGAGGAAGACCCCCAGTGAGATTAATTGAAACCGAGGCAGCAGCAATGGACTCAAACATAACAATTCTAAGGATGACACAGGACAGACTAATGTTTCGCTCTGTTGTACATAGGGTCACTTTGAGTCAGAACCGATTGGACAGCACCTAACAACAAAATATCTGTTATAAAATAAACGACACAATCTATGTTAATTATTTTATGTTTCACAAGTCTTATTATTCATTTGGACTTTAGAAATAGTTTGAGGTAGGGATCAACTTTTTTTTTTTTTTTTTCTGTATATTATTCAGTTAAGTACTATTGTTTTCAAAAAGTTTTTTTTCTTTGTTCATGAGAGTCACCTTAGTCATAAATCAAATGTCCACTTTGGTAGAAGTCCATTTACGGGCATTCATTCTGTTGTTCTTGTTTTTCTTTTCACTGTTACTATGTTGTTGTTGTTGTTAAGTGCCGTCGAGTCGGTTCCGACCCATAGCGACCCTGTACAGGGTTTCCGAGGGTGTAAATCTTTACGGGAGTAGAAAGCCTCATCTTTCTCCCGCGGAGCGGCTGGTAGTTTCGAACCGCTGACCTTAAGGTTCGCAGCCCGATTCGTAACCACTGTTACTATACTGGGGTACTTATCAGGCTTTTATAGTAAGTCTTGGTACTTGGTAGATATTCCACTTCATTATTTTTTAAGAGATCTTTCAAGACTATATTGAGTATTTTTTATTTTCATATCAATTTTAAAATAAACTTGTCATGTTCCTAAAAACAAGCCGACTATAGGAAAAACACTGAGATTTCTAAAGAATTTTCATTGACTCTATAGACCAATTCAGAGAAATGACATTGTAACATTGAGTCTACCAACTGCTGAAAACTGTATGACCCTCCATTAAATCAGATCTTTCTTTCATTACAATCTTTGTTTAAATTTATCCAGTTATTTGATATTTTGTATAGTATCCTGTTTTGACAGTGCAGGATCAGCACTGGACTGTGAACCACAACGCAGGAGTTCAAACCCACCAGCTGTTCATCGGAAACCCTATGCAGGGTCGCTATGAGTCAGAATCAACTCAATGGCACTTTAACAACAGCAATGCTTATACATATTTCCTTTAAAATTTACTTTTATATTTGTTAATGGCACATTGAAACAATTGATTTTTGAATACTGATTTTGATTGTATCCAGCAACCCCGTTAAAATTATTTAATATTTATTCCTATTTTTCAAAAAGTGCTTGTATATAACATACCATTGTATGAAAAGATCCTTTTATTTTTCCCTTCCCAATCTTTGATTTCCTCTTCTTGACAAATAATAAATCCCACAATAATGCATATAGGGACGAAGTGTTCTTCTGTTTGTACATTAAAATCCTTTTTCACAATCAACTACAATGGCCTTACCCCAAGTCCCTAGATCCTCTTCCCCTTAAAGAACAGAGATCTGTCTTCGTTTTCAAGACTAAATCTTTACAGAAATCAGACTGTCGGATCTTTCGCCAGCACAGTGACAGGTGGGTTCCAACAGCCAAAGTTTTAGTTAACAGCCAGTACTTCAACGACGGAGCCAACAGGGTTTCAGAGATGAAACCATCCTAAAATCCCTCCCAACCCAGTGGATTCTAAAGATCAGCGCCAGAACCCGCTGACACAGCGTCAGGTCCCGACAGCGTTAGCGCGTACGGCCGGAATGCGGACCGCTCCGCCCCCTCGCAGCGCAGCCAATCAACGGCCCTCTCTTACGCGGGACTCCAGCGGCCAAAATGGCGGCGGCCGTTGGCGCGGAGGTCTGTTCGTAGTACCGTTGCCCTTCTCAGGTTGCAAACTATGAAAGGAGAAGCGACTGTTGGAGGGGGTCATAGGCGATGAGTCGGCGAAGGAAACATGGGGACGGCCCTGGCCCGAAGGATTCGCTGCGCAAAACAGCAGCGACTGAAGAGTGCAGCTCGGTGGAGCCTGGGAGGAGGCGGCCGAGGTCGACCCGCGGCTCGGGGTTCCGCGGGGCTGGGGACGGGCCTCCCCCGCCAATGCTGCTGCAAGAGCAGCCTCCAGCAGCTGCTTCCTGCAGTAAAAGTAACCCTGAGGGTGAGACGCCGGCAGTGCAGCCTCCCCAGGCTTTGGTGCTGCAGCCCCCCCCCGCCCCCCAGCGCAGCGTGGAGCAGGGAAACGGGGTGCGGGTGGAAGTGGAGCCTGAAGTGAGGTTTCTCTGGTTCAAAGTTACCCATTGCCACTCCCCACGGTTTCACTTCCCGAGATTGCGCACTGCAGTGTTAGAACCGCCTACCCGCTTGTCACCCCTGCACGGGAATGGGTCCTGGAATTGACCTGTTAAGGGACGGAGGCAATTTGGGAGATGCGCCTCTAGTTCTCCGCATTGGGGGAGCCGGTACAGATATCTGAGCGGCCCTTCGCCCTCAACTTGCTTCCTGGGGCATGTTTTCCCCGTAAGCTCTAACCTGGCTCACCTTCGGAACGGGACCACGTGAAAAGTTCCTGCTCTTTCCACAACTTCTTGGCCTTGTCACGTCTCTTTTATGTAAAACCCGGAAATTCCTACATGGACTCTTCCTCAAAGTAGGAAACTAAGGACCCATGCGTTAATTTGGAGTCCTGGTATGGTGCTGTAGGTTAACGCTCTGGACTGCAAGGTTGGCAGTTCAAGCTCATCAGTCACTCCTCGGAAAACCTATATGGTCATTATGAGTCGGAACCGAGGCACTTAACAAAAACAAGTTTTGAGAAGCTCATTATAAACCATGCCAAGAAGTTTAACACATACAAAACTTTTTTCCTAGAGCATCTCTAAAATAAGACTTTTGTTACCTTACTGTTGTGTGCTGATGAATGGATTCCACTCCTAGCAACCCTGCATAAGGTTTCTGAGAGTAGTTGATGAATTTGAACCGCTGGCCGGCATTGCGGTTCATAGGAAGCTTGCAGTCCAGTGCTCTATCCCACAATGCCACGCGAGTCTGTCATTTACTCCCATAATGCAATTCGTTGTGGTTACGGGTTGGGTTGCTAACCTCAAGGTCAGCAGTTCGAAGCTATCAGCTGTACCGGGAGAAAAAGATGAGGCTTTCTGCTGCTCCCTTAAAGATTTATAGGTCCAACTATGAAGTTGGAGTTCTGGTGTGGTGCTGTGGGTTAATGCACTGGACTGCAAAGTCGGTTTGAACCTCAAGGTTGGTGGTTCAAGCTCATTAGCTGCTCCTCGGAAAACCCTATACAGGGTCATTATGGATCGGACCGACTCTGGAACTTAATAGCAACAACAACATGAGTCGGAACCAACTCCATGGCACATAACCAACCAACAACCAAAAGAATGAAAGCAATTTTATGTAGAAATGCAAGTGACAGTACAGGAAGCTTCCCAACAAATGGATCACTTTAACGTTTTGAAACTCTTAGTGTAGATTGAATTTTGTTGTTAGTGCTGTCAAGACCATTCTGACTCGTTCTGATCCTGTATAGGGCTTCTGAGGAGTGGCAGTTGGGTTTGAACCGCTGATCATTGCAGTTCAAACCGGCCTTGGGGTCCGCTGCTCATCCTCCAGTGCCACGTCAGAAAAGAGTTGAATAGAGTTTGTGAAAGGCAGCCAGACTTTTAACTGGATACATTTGACTTTTGAGTCATAATAATAAATTACAGGAGTCGAGGTGTGGCTTGCAGAATAATTCGCATGTCTACAAAGTCAGCTTTAGCCACAAGGTCGGTGATTCAAACCCACCGGTCGCTCCTTGGAAACCCTATACAGGGTCGCTATGAGTTGAAACCAACTCAGCGTTTAACAAAAACAACAGTAAATTGCAGGTGGCTCCCAAAAGACTCTACGACCCAGTGAGAGTTGTTAAGTGCACTCTAGTTGTTTCCGACTCATACTGACCCAGTATAGGGTTTCCACGGAGTGACTGGAGAGTTTGAATCACCGACCTTGAGGTTCAAACTGACCTTGCAGTAGTAAACTTTTCCGATAGCGCCACACCACAATTCCAGTGATAATGTACTGACTAGGTTATATACACGTTTTACAGGGAGCGTGGTAGCTCCATAGGATAAGCACTGGACTATGAACTACAAGGACTGTGTTTCGAGTTCGCATGCCGCTGGGTGAGAGAAAGCTAAGGCTTTTTGTTCCCGCGAAGATGGAAAGCCTCAGAAACGCTAAACATGATCGCTATGAATCAGAATTGACTCCATGGCACTTAACATTAACAACAAAGTTAGTGTCATTCCTAGAGCTTAGGTTATCTGTAAGTATTACATATACTCTTATAAAAATGCTATTATTTGTCATGTGTTGCTGCACAGATTTTTATGTGATGTAAAACCAACATTTCAATTGTAGTTAAAATATGGAGGAAATTTCGATATTGTAGTATTGTATTGTTAAGTGTTGTCAAGTCCTTTCCATAGAGCGGCTGGTGAGTTTGAACCACCGACCTTGCAGTTCAAACCGACCTTGTTGTCCGGTGCTTATTTGACTTTGGAGTTTTTTTGAAGTAAAACGATGCTTTAACATGTAACAGTTATTTGAATCATCGTTTTACACAGAAAAGTATGAGACACCCAGGAGAGTGCCAAAAATAGATTTACTGCCGTGTAACTTCAGTTCTCCAAATGATCCAGATGGACTGAACGATATATTTTGGGATCAGAATTCTCCAACGACAAAGCTGTTAGGTAATTTGTTATTAATGTTTTTATGTGGGTAAATGTTCGATAAATGATTCGGTTTTAACTAAAATTTTAGTCAGCAAACGTGGAGTAACCCTGGTAGCATAATGGATGATGAGCTGGCTTGCTAACTGCAGTATCAGCAGTTTGAATCTACCAGCTGCTCAGTGGGGAAAAAATGAGACTTTCTGCTCCTGTAAACATTTACAAACTGGGAAACCCTATACAGGGTCGATATGAGTCTGAGCCAACTCGGCACACCACTATCACCAATAATAGCATGTGAAACTTTGATATCTACTAAATACTTACTGTTATTTCATTATTGATAGTCATGTCAAGAGTATATAGTGATGAAACCTGTTATTAAAATCACTGTCTTAAGATATGACCACGGGTTGTTATTTTTTTGTTTTTGGGTTGTTTTTTTTAATAGTTTGCTTTACAATATGTAGAAATGTCTTTTGTTTCTTTAGGTAAAGGAAGAAAAAACCAGATTTACACCACAGATAGTGATGAGATTTCTCATATTGTTAATCGTATTGCTCCTCAGGTAAATATCACTAGTTTTATTTATTTATTTTTAAACAGTGGAAAATGTGCAATAAAGCCTGGTGTAGCTCATATCAATGAAAAATAATAACAGTTTACCTTTTATAATTCTCTTTTCCAAAAATACTGCAGTAAAGATTGTTTTTACCTTTTCAACTTCTGAAATGCATTTGAAAAAAACATATTATAAAATTAGCAATGTCTATTTTCTTAAACACATATATTCGTTTAATTTTATGAGTGATTTGGACTAAGTTTGGTGTTTATTTTTAATATTGTGCTTAATAATATAATACTTTTCAAGTTATTGAAATAATAGAATGAGGCAATTCATTAAACTTCTGTGCCTTTTCCTTGTTTCAGTGGCTCTTTTTAATACTGACTTACAGCATAGTGGTTATAAATTGGGCTGCGAACCTTAAGGTCAGCAGTTCGAAACTACCAGCTGTTCGGCAGGAGAAAGATGAGGCTTTCTGCTCCCGTAGAGATTTGCAGCCTCGGAAACCCTGTACAGGGTCGCTATGGGTCGGAACTCACTCAACAGCACTTGACAACAACAAATAAAATCATGAAGAAACATTTGTCCAGGTGGAAAAAACACTAGGTTGGAGTTAGTTTTGAATCGTCTCCTGTGTTGAGTGGCCTTTGTCAAGTTACTGAAGCTCTCAGAATCTCAATTCACTCAGGCATATATATATTAGAATTATTACTTGTCTTGCTTTAATGAGGATTAAAATGGCAATATATGTTAAAATCAAACAACTAGCACAGTCAAAACAAATCTGTTGCTACTAGCTCTACATTCCATGTTTGGCATGTCATAGAAATTCATTTTACATTGGGTTAATTAGTTAAATAGCATTTATGCCATATTACTACTTACGTTATAAGTTAACAATAGATCTTCATTAATTGTGGGTTTCACATGAAAGAGGCAAATAAAATGTGTTTGGGCTGGCCAGCCTAAATAGTGATAGAAAGATAGTTGAGTAAATTATTGGATCCTTTACCTAAATGGGCTGGAAATAATAGCTCATATAAAGAATGGAAACAGTGTGCAAGTGGTAGCTTGTATAAAGCAAAAAATAAAGTGAAATTTGCTTGGTTTTCGATGTTTCCCTCTTCAGCTCAGCACTTTTAAAAAGCATATAAATCTTTGGCAGTATCAAAGTCAGCTTAAAATTTGTGATGTTCTCTGAAAGTGTTCTCAACATGAAACAGATAATTCTGTTGTTTCTTTTTAGGTGAGCTATTCTGGTCAAACTGTTAATTTCCCCTTAATGTTTTCAGAGATGGCATATCTTTTTTAAATGTGTACTTCCAGTTTAATTGAAAGTTAATTCACTTTCTTTAGCAATTTTTTTATACAGTGTTGAGTATTCAAGGTATATATTTTTATATCATATTATACAGTATACTCTTTAGGATTAAATGAAGTAATGTGTATAGGTACACCATGTATAACACCTGGAGTATAGTGGGAATCAATGTGAAATGATTTTTGATAATGAAATTTAAGAAATGTAACCCTTATAAGTAAGTGTTATAAATATGCATATGTAGGTTTATGTATATACATAAAAGTTGGATATTATAAAATTATCTTAATTCTCTGAAAATTGAATTAATTAAAAATTGCTTGGCAAAAGTTCACAATGAGATCACTAAGAATGTCATTTTCCTTACATTCAAAATTGTGTTGGAATAAGAAGGGGAAAATAGAGTCTGAAAGGGAAATTACTATTTCCTAGAGTATTTCATGAAGTTAAATCAATGTATACAAATGAGCATCTAAGAAAACTGCTGGTGGATTATTAAGGATTTTAAAGTACTGAATTGTTGAGCTCTTTTCACCTAAACCTAGTATGTAAATTTAAAGTGACATTTTCCTTATTGTGCTAGAGACTGAGATATTATTGCAAGAGGCTTTGCCTTCATATAAGGAGCCCTAGAGGCACAGTAGGTTAAGCTTTGCACAGCTAACAGAAAAGTTGGCAATTCACCAGAAACATGAGGCAAAAGTTCCTGCAAAGATTTACAGCGTCAGAAATGTTGGGAGCAATTCTGCTCTGTCCTATAGAGTTGTTATAAAGTAGAATCCACTTGATGTTATTGAGTTTGAGGTTTTTGTTATAGTTGTTGTTGATTCTGCCTGCAACTAACCTACAGTCTAGGGATTAAGTTATTATACTTTGTTGTCTCCTTTCATTCTAGATAATAAAGAATTAAAGTAGAAAGTGTGTCTTCTATTTCATTTGTTGGTTGGGTTTTTACCTAATATGTAAAGCTCCTTCTCTAATTTTTCTACATGCTCAGTGATTGTGAAGTCATAGCAAAAATAGACAGAACTAAAATGGCTTTTTCCTTGATTGTGTTTTTTTTCTTTGGCTTTCTCTTATTTTTGTTCTCATTTTATTCTCATTCTTGCATCTGTTCTGAACTTGCTTTGACCCCTTGTTCCTGACTTTAATTCCATCTGTATAGTCTAAATTCAGGTCCACATGGGCTTTTAGATAGAGATTATAATGGGAGAAGGGAAAATTTGGAGAATCAGATGATGCATTAAGTATTCCAATTTTGCCTCTTTTTATTCTCAATTCTGATGACTTATGCCATACAGTTTATTTCTGATATTTATTTTTATGAGTATATTATGAAAATTGAAATAAGTTGTTCTTTTTTTGAGAAAGCATGAGTTTTTACTAGTAAATATGCATTATATAAAAATTTTTAGAACTTTAATTTTTAATTTTTAAAAAAATAAGGAATTTTAAATCTTGAATGTTTTTTCTGTACCTGAAACAGAAATTGAAAAACTTGATATTGCCGTCTCTCAATTTCTCATTGTTTTAAAATTTACTTTATAATGAACTCTTCACCCGAATTTGTTGTCCTAGGAAAAATGTCAAAGTAGTTAAAGATTGTTTTCTTTCCTCCCTTACTTTTTCTTTCTTTCTTTCTTTTTTTTTTTTTTTTTACTTCTGCACATCTTTACTTCTCTCTGCCAAAGGATGAAAGACCAAGCACAAACTCTATGCTAGGCATATGGATTGGTGAAACTGCTATTCCTTGTACTCCCAGTGTAACAAAAGGGAAATCAAGAGCAAAAAGCAGCGGCATTAAGTGAGTTCAAACTTTTCTGCAATTCAGTGAAGGAAATATTTTTAATAGTATTCTCTTTTTTAAAAATATGTATTAAAATGACTAGTAAAACCTTTCCTTAGTCTGACATGTAAAATTCAGAGTGAAAATAGTGATCTTAAAGTTTCTTTGTTTTATAATATCAAAATATGTTAAGTAGCAATGGAATATTTATAGTGGCTCTTAGAACATTTCTCAGTGATAATATTTTGAATGTTTAATAGGTTAAAAACACAAAATCAAGAAGAAGAACTTATGAAGTTGGCAAAGCAGTTTGATAAAAATATGGAAGAACTTGATGTGATTCAAGAGCAAAGCAGTAGGAATCATGATTTTGCCCAGATGATTTCAGAAACAGAGACGTTAAATGAATATAAAGAGAATTTACAGATACAGTCATTATGTCATGAAATTCCTGAAATAGATACTGCTGTGATAAAGAAGCCAGTGAAGGAAAGCACCAAGGTATCAACGGCAAATGATCAAAATAGCAGTAACAAGTTATTTGATCAAAATGTTGAAGCAGCTTTTAATGCCATTTTTGATGGTTCCACTCAGAAATGTAGTGGGTGTTTAAGCCAAGATCGGTCAGATGCTTTTTTGAACACCAGTAACAACACTGCCTGTCGAAAGGAAAATACTTTGAAAGAGGAGAAAGTCGTTACCAGTGAGACTCTGATCGCTGTTAAACTACAAAATAAAGCCCCAGGATCACTTTCTTCTCAAGTAGACACTCCCATCATGACAAAATCATGTGTGACTTCCTGTGTGAAGGAGACAGAAACTTTTAGTAAACACATTGATCCCTTTGCTCCCAGTGACTTTGAGAAGAATTGGGAACAATTACGCAGAAGTGAAACTCTTGTGATGCAAACTGTGGAAATGCCAGAACTGCTTCCTGTGTCGAAAGTACCTCATGTTGCTGTTCACAAGGATCTTTATATTTTTAACAATAAAAATGATAAAAGTAAGTCAAGAACCGTTGTAAGTTTAGATGCCAGGCTAAATGATTCCAAAATTTTACAAAATCTTCCTTCAAAAACATGTAACAAAGAATTAATAGATGCTGAAAAACATAACTTTTTGCCAGATCCAAATGATAAATCAAACAAATTGTCATCCACTGGAAATAAAATGAAATTTGAACAATCTTGCAACAAAATTATTTTTCAAGACAAAATTCAAGATTGTGCCCTTGCGTCTAAAAAAATAAAGGAAGATACTCCTGCTAAGTTTACTTCTACTGTAAATGCTTCTGAAAAGAAGTCTGCTTTGAACAAAGGATGTTTTAATGAACAAAAATGTAAGCCCATTTTTAATCAGTCCGTTAAAATAGCTGCTAAAACAGATCTTTTTGACTCTACAGCTTCAGCCGGTGAAACCAAATCAGATGGTAACCCAAATCAGACTAATGCACCACATTTAGGTACTTTCCTGGATGATTGGAATGATCCATCATTTGCCAACGAAGTTATTGAAGCATGCCATCAACTAGAGAATACCTGGGAAACCGATGATGTAGACGATGATTTGTTATACCAGGCATGTGATGATGTTGAAAGACTAACACAGCAACAAACCATTACAAATGAGAGCAAGATACCAGAAAAGATAGTTGAAGTCAATAATAATTCCAAATTTGGAGCTAAAAACATGTCTATGACATCTAAGCAGGGAAGACAGTTGATGCGACCAAAGCATTTGAATCTGGATAGCCTTACAGTACAACCATCCATAACAAATAGTTCACAAGTAAATCAATCAGTGAAGATGGAGAAGGGGGAAACTTCCAGAAACACTCCGAGTATTTTAGGTACCACAACAAATTTAACTATGTATTCTAAGAACTCAAATGATGACATCAGTAATATGCATGTTTCTTGGAATAACAGTGATGTTCCAGTAAAAGGGAATAGTTCCAAGTTGGTTCTGGCAGGAAGTTCAAGTTGGAATGTGAGTTCAGGGCATATGAATATAGGAATTTCTGCTGCTAATAAGCTGACTACTCAGCGTTTGTTACATAGGACAGTAAAAGAAGAAACTCAGACTGATCTTAACAAAGCAACTAAATTTTCAAAATACACATTTACCAGGATGAAAAATTCTCAGACTCAATCTCAGTTTAATCAAAGTTGTTTAACAGGAAGTAAATCTGGTGCCAAAACTACACAGAGTTTAGAGGAAAAGAAAACTCCAACTAACAACCCGTTATGTGATGAGGAGGTTGTTCAGCAGCAGTCTTTGATAAAACTTTCTGAATCTGTAAAACAACCTTCAAAAGGTATGTGTATAATAATTTCTTTTAGAAGTATCATCTTGGAAAGTAGTTATTGTTTTGAATTTTAGTAAAGTATAAGGAGCTCTGGTAGCGTAGTGGTTACGAATCGGGCTGCGAACCATAAGGTCAGCAGTTTCGAAACTACCAGCGGTTCCGCGGGAGAAAGATGAGGCGTTCTGCTCCCGTAAAGATTAACAGCCTCGGAAACCCTGTGCAGGGTCGCTGTGAGTCGGAACCGACTCCACGGCACATAACAACAACAACAACAACAATAAGATAAAAAACATTCTAAATGATATTTGTCTTAGGCCGACTTCTCTAGAGAAGCAAAGCCAGCAAAGCTTGGATGTATGTGGGTGTGTGTGTGTTGTGTGTGTATGTATATGTATATATATACACACTGTGCTTAGCAGTCCACCACAGTGATTATCCTTTGTACCACCAGGGCTACTTTAGATACAAGATCCAGATCTGCAAAGGTCAATTAAGTTTTGCATGTTGTTGCTAGTGCTGTCAAGTCAGTTCTGACCCATCGTGACCCTGTATACAGTTTCTGAGGAGCAGCTGGTGAGCTTGAACCACCAACCTTGCAGTTCAAACCAACTTTGCAGTCTAGTGCATCAACCCACAGTGCACACCAGGAGTCTAGTTTTGCCTGAGGACCCAAAAGATTGTTAGCAGGTGGGACTCTGCATCAAACATCCTTTCAATTGTTTGGCTGCTCATAGCAGGTCTCATCATGGAGGTGATTCCAGTATATTAGAATTATCTAGTCATTCTGGGGGATTACTATTGCCTTACTGACAAATCGTTAAGAATTTAGGTCCAGCTAAGTTGAAAACCTTAACTGTCACAGTGTTTAACTAGAATTATTAAAGTAGTTCTTAACAAATAATTGTGCAGTAGTATACACAGAGAATAAGTGGTATATTTTTCAGTGTTAAGTGGAATTCTTTTTCCAGCATTTTAATACAGTGAGTGGCGTATAGTAGGCATTCAGTAGATTTTAGGGAATTGTTTATGAATTGTTTCCTTGGATAATCACACTTGCTGTTGTAGTGTTAAGATGGTTTACTAAATATTTCATTGTTTTGTAACTTATACCTGCTTATACTAGCAGAGCATTGAGGTGAACAATATTTGAAAATTCAGAGCATTCTATTTAAACCTTTGTTGATATAATATCTGATATAAAACTAATTGTTACTTATAACAGTTGTGATTTATTTACCTGACATAACCTATCTTTGGTTCCTCTCATCCCTCTCCTACTCCCAAATTCTGTATTCTACCAATATGTTCCATTGTTTCTGTCTCAAAATGTTACCTTAACACTGGATATTTCTCTGACTCTTTACTGCTACTTTTCTCCAAGACAACATTTCTTGACTAGCCTACTGCCTTTCTTTTATTTGTCCCTTTCAATTCTAGTCTCCACATAGCTGAGCAAGCTTTTACAAATGGGCAAACCTGGCATTTCTATGCTTAAAACCACTATGAGAGCCAACCTATCGTATTTCAAATACACTACTGATTTGCACTGAGCTACAAGGTCCTTCCTGCATTCCCGCTCCTTAACCTGCCAGTTCATCCTATTTCATTCCATTTGTCCTTTATCTACTAAACCTTAGCTGTACCAGGTGTCTTTCATCTCTCCAAATAGAATAGTTCTGGAACTTTTCACAAAACTCCTGTTCCTCCCCAACATTTGACTCTCCCCTACCCTCTTAGCTTGGTTGTTGCTTTACTCTCCTGAGGCCTCAATTGAAGTATCGCCCTCCCACAACAGCCTTCCTTGAATAGTCTATAAACTAACTTTCACCCTGAGATTTGACATCTACCTTGACTTCATTGTTTAAAAAAATACCACAGGGTGCAATTAAATATTTATTTAATGATATGGTCTCTCTTAAGAATAACAACATCTGGCACTTAGAAGGGTACAGAGTAAATATTTGAATGAATATACAGTGTTAAATATCTGCTGTTGTTGTTGTTAAGTGCCGTCAAGTCGGTTCCGACCCATAGCGACCCTGTACAGGGTTTCCAAGGGTGTAAATCTTTACGGGAGTAGAAAGCCTCATCTTTCTCCCGTGGAGCGGCTGGTAGTTTCGAACCGCTGACCTTAAGGTTCGCAGCCCGATTCGTGTATTTCTTTAAATGAAATCGAATCTCTGATTGTAATCATTTGTCGTTTTCATTACCCAGCACTCTCTTGTAACCTCTTGTCATCATAGATGCTATTTCCTTCCCTGAAGCATAGTGCTTCCTCATACATACTCCATTTGTCATTTCAGATTCAGTGTATTCTGACTGCTCAAAGTGATTGACATTCACTCTGTGTTTCTACAATAGCTAGTGCTAACTTTAATTACAGCATTTGCTATGTTGTTGTTGTTAAGTGCCATTGAGTCGGTTCCAACCCATAGCGATCCTGAACAGGGTTTCCAAGGCTATAAATCTTTACGGGAGCAGAAACTCTCATCTTTCTCCTGCGGAGAAGCTGGTAGTTTCGAACTGCTGACCTTGGGGTTCGCAGCCTGATTCGTAACCACTACGTGAATTATAGATCTTCTTAAATCTTTCTCAGTTGAGGCTAAGGATAGGAATCTATTACGGAGAACAATGCTAATATAATGGTGGGGGTTCCGTTTCTTTTTACATTAGATTATCATTGTTTAGATTTGAAATGTTAGATTATATCAGTTATTTTCTAGTTTTTTGTTTTTTAAAAAAACAAAACAGAATAGTTGGAAATAAAATATCAAGTCCCCTGTTTTTCCTTTCCTAGGATCATTTTCAGGGGAAGTCACAGTTAGCAGTTTAATATGCATCATTCAGTAATTTCTATGCGTATAGAAATGAGTCTGTGTGCCTTTGTGTGTGCGTAGAATTGTTTAAATAAATGGAATTATATATTTACTACTTATGGAGTCCTGGTGTGGACTAATGCACTGGACTGCAAAGTCAATTTGAGCAATAAAATTGGAACTTCAAACCTACCAGTTGTTCCTCGGAAACCTATAGGGTCGCTATGCGTCTGAATTAACTCAACGGCACTTAACAACAATGTATACACTATTTGGAGTCCTGGTGGGGTGCTGCAGGATAATGCCCTGGACCTCAAGGTCAGTTTGAGCCTTATGGTTGGCAGTTCAAACCCACCAGCCACTCCTTGAAAACTCTGTAGGGTCGCTATGAGTTGAAATGTACTCAACGGCACTTAACAACAACCTACTATTTACTGAGCCCTGGTGGCACTGTGGGTTAGGTGTTGGGCTGCTAACTGGAAGGTCAGTGGTTCAAATTCACCAATTACACTGTGGGAGAAAGAAGAGGCTATTCTGTAAAGATATAGTCTCAATTGCCATGAGTTATCAACTTGATGGCAGGAGCAGTTATGGTATGCTCACTATTTGATAGCCGTGTTGGTACATACAGATTGCTTCAGTCATCCTGACTCTTAGTATAGTGTAATTATGTGGGTGTACCGTAATCTATTTAAGGAGCTCTGGTGACGTAGTGGTTACGAATCGGGCTGCGAATCATAAGGTCAGCAGTTAGAAACTACCAGCTGTTCCGCGGGAGAAAGATGAGGCTTTCTGCTCCCCCGTAAAGATTTACAGCCTCGGAAACCCTGTACAGGGTCGCTATGAGTCAGAACCAACTCCACGGCACATAACCAACCACCACCATAATCTATTTAACTTGTTTCTTACTGATGTATGTTTAGGTTATTTGTAGTTTTTAGCAGTCATAAAGTATACTACAGTGAATATTGCATCCTGGCTTCTAAGGAGCATTCTGGTTGTTTTTCTTCCAACACAGATTTGTTTGTTCTTCTGGCAGTCCATGGTACTTTTAATAGTCTTCTCCAACACCATCATTCAAATGCATCTATTCTTCTACAGTCTTCCTTATTCATTGTCCAACTTTTACATACATATGAGGCTATTGAAAATACCATAACTTGGCTCAGGCTCACCTTTGCCCTTAAACTGACTTCCTTGCTCTTTAACACTTTAAAAGAGACCTTTTGCAGCAGATTTGCCTTATGTTATTTCATTTCTTGACTGCTGTTTCCGAGAGTACTGATGGTGAATCCAAGCAAAATGAAGTCTTTGACAACTTCAGTCTTTTTTTCCATTTATCATGATGTTGTTTACTGGTCCAGTTGTGTTTTTTTTTTTTTATCTTTACCTTGAGATGCAATCCTTACTGAAGACTACTGATCTTCATCAGTAAGTATCTTAAGTCCACTTTGTTTCCAACAATCAAGGTAGTATCTTCATATCGCAGGTGGTTTAATGAGTCTTCCTCCAATCCTGATACCACATTCTTCTTCATATAACCCAGCTTCTCAGATTATTTGCTCAGCATATAAATTGAATATGTATGGTAAAATTAAACATCCCTGGTACATTCTTTCCTGATATTAAAACATTCAGTGTTCCCTTGTTCTGTTCTAACAACTGCTTCCTGTTCTATGAATAGCTTCCTCATAAGCACAATTAAGTGCTTTGGAATACCCATTCTTCACAATGTTATGCAGAATTTATTATGACCCTACAAAGTTGAAAGACTTTGCATAGTCAGTAAAGCACATGTGAACATCGTTGTGGTACTCTGCTTTCATCCAACATCCATCTGATGTCAGCAATGATATCCCTAGATCCACATCCTCTTCTGAATCCAGCTTGAATTTCTGGTAGTTCTCCATTGATATACTGTTGCAACCGGTTTAGAATTTTACTTGCATGTGATATATTAATGATATTGTTCGGTGATTTCAATGTCCTATTGGGTCACCTCTCTTTGGAATGGGCACAAATGACTCTGTTCCAATCAGTTGTGTAGGTAGTTACCTGTCTTCCAAATTTTTTTTGCTTACATAAGTGAACACCTCAAGTGCTACTCAGTTTATTGAAAGATTTAAATTTGTGTTCCCTCTATTCCTCTTGTTGCTGTTGTTGTTAAGTACCTTCCAATTAGTGTCAGCTCAT